TATAGGGAGTTGTAAGCGAGTCTCAAACTCGTATATTCCCGAATCCCAAGACACCTTAACGAATAACAACACGTTCACATTATTTCACAATACAGATATGTTTTGGCAACTCGTAGATCGACAGTAAGCGTGTGACATTTTCGTTAAATCAAGTGACAGTATACACAACTCGTTGCAATTACCGGGGCGTGGGTTGGGCACTAGTACAGCCCATAAATATCACTTGTGAACGAAAAGTAAAATATTTATTTTGTCCTTAATTTTTCTACTGGCCTTCTCCCGGTCGCTGGTCCTGAACTGTGGCCTGGAGCTTTAATTTCTACCACATACCACACACACAAGAGAGATAGGAGAGAGAGAGGCAATATAAACGGAGAAAGAGACATCTCATCGAAGAGCTGCCAAAAGAGAAAATTTAGTCAATATCGATGCTGGACTTATCGTTGGTGAAGGCAGCCGCCCAATCAGAAGACCGCTGAAGATCGAAAAGATATCAGTCACCTTGGCTGATGATTTGCCCAGCGTGAATTCAGATGTGATAGACAATTTTTCAGTGCAGGCTAGATTTCGCATACCAGAAGTAAGATGTGATCATGATGCACGCCGTAGTGGAAGGCTCCTGATAATTTCCACCATCTGGGCTTTTTCAGCGTACGCCAACACCGCACTGCGTATATACTCAAGCATTTCGCCACGATCGAAATGTGACCACCGCTACCGGGATTGAACCCGCTACTTTCGTTCTGCCGCCGAGCGCTGTAACCACTGAGCCATGCGTGTGTGTGTGTCAACCGAGACAGAAGTCCAGGGAAAGATGGAAGATAAAAGAGCTGAGAAATTTCTCGTGATACGTGTTTCTGTAACATGTTCACTTAGTCCTCAAAAGAAGTTCTTGTTGCAAAATCGTTCGTAAGACTGGGTCTCCGCCAATCGCGATGATTGATGATTGGTTTGATTGATATGTGGGGTTTAATGTCCCAAAACCACCATATGTATATGAGAGACGCCGTAGTGAAGGGCTCCGGAAATTTCGACCGCCTGAGGTTCTTTAACGTGCACCCAAATCTCAGCACACGGGCCTACAACATTTCCGCCTCCATCGGAAATGCAGCCGCCGCAGCCGGGATTTGATCCCGCGACCTGCGGGTCAGCAGCCGAGTACCTTAGGGACTAGACCACCGCGGCGGGGCAATCTCGATGATTGGCGTATGATTTGAAAGCCAGAGAGGATGATGGTATGCAGGATTTAGCAGTAGACGTGATACACTGTGAATTCGGTGACTGGGCAAATGCGTTTCGTGATCCTGAAACCTGTTCCGAGTTTTCAGAGACTTCGACAACTCGCCGTGAGCACTGGATGATGAGACTGGCACAGAATTGAGCGGAATACACCGCAAATAAACGGACAGACTTCGTTGCGCGTCCGCAGGAGCCGTACAGACGCGGCCATCCATTGCAAATGGCTAGCAGGGCTGCGTCCGAATGGCTGCTGCGGACGCGTGACTAAATATGTCTAATACCAGCGGCCCGCATGTTGCGCATCTATCGTTTCCGTCTCCCGTCAAGAGATGGAGCGGCAGTCCGGTGAACGATGTGAAGGGTGCCATTCTATCTGCCTCGTTTGCGAGCGTTAACGGAGGTGTCGCAGGAGCCGTAGCATCATTGCGGTCTACATTTTGCGTTGTCGATGTGTTCGTGCGACATTATGTGACATGAGAAAAAAATGTGTGGTCCCCCAAGCTAAAGTAATGACATCCCAATAATGCAACGGTTACTTTCTTTGTTGGAGTGAAACATTTCTATCCGTTAACACAGCGACCATGAGCTTTGCACGGACAAAGTTGAGCTCCAGTATACTTTTTATTGCAATTATGGACGGTGAGTTGTAAACAAACAGCCGGCAAATAAATGACCGTTCTTTTTTAATAAGTTTTGCCAGTTCTTTCGCATCTGCAATGTTCTGTATACAAATAGGATTGAACAAGCTTGTCTAAGAGGGCGGCTATATACACGTTCCATGTATATAGCACGGAAGGACCATGAATACGTAATTTTTTCGTTCCGTGCTTTCAAACTTACACCACTTAAAAGCTTGAATTGCTTTGTAATATATCCGCTGACATATTCTGAAAACAGTCTTGACTATATTTAGAATTGAGTAATGTGTATATACACCCTGCTTGATATTGAGTGGTACAATCATACGAATAATGGATCGTCTTGATGAATAAACGAGACGGACAAAAGAGTGATACACATCAGCCCACATCTCTGGGAACTCCTTCACTCTACTTCATAATGCGCTGCTCTCTTCAACAGTATTTTACTGCTCCTTTTGATAATTGACATTGTTTTTATGTGAATGAATTTTGTCAATTTTGTCAGTTAATTCAGCATTGATATTGTTTTTGTGGTCATTCTAGTTTATTCAGCCCTTTCGGACACACAACGACGGGTGGGAACACTTGGCGGGTCAAACGCATGCGCGTATACAAGGAGTATGTTCGAAAAATATACTGACCTTCCTCTTGAACTTTGCGTGCTTAGCGTGGGTGCACAAGACGCTACAAGCTGATGGATCCATCCGTCACGGCCATTACTGTCTTTAGTTGAAAGACTCAATGTGATTCAAATAAACTCACCAATCCTGCTATAACTCATGGCATTATTATTACTAAACATTATTGCAGTCATCTTCATCATCAATCACAATATCAAAGGTGGCCCCACCTTTCACTGAAAAAAATTCTCTATGCTTGCTTGGCCAAGGGTTCATGTTTTCATAGAAAATTCGCGAGAGCATTTCCTTGGTTGGCTTCCCGGTACCAACTACGGATGATATACTCACGGACAACTTTTCTCGACAATGAAGGGAAAGCTACGGGGGCGGAGCACATGTACTTCTCCATCAAGCAGTCCGGTTCGGCTCGCGCTTCGAATGACGGTCGTTTTTGTATAACAACAGTGCATTAAGTTCCCTACGCCTGCTCAGACAACCGTTTGCGAGTGAAATTCGTCACAAGCTTCTTCGGCGAGTCGTTGCGATAGCTGGATGGCGACAAGCGCTCCCCCAAAGACGAAGACGCCATTTTGACAGCGAGGTGTGCGTGAAACGTGCTACGTTTTCACACGTGCCGAAACGCGAAATGACACTTCATGAAAAAAAAATTATGAATGTGTCCGTGGTGTGGGCTGCTTCTCTTTATAAACAACATCTTGGAGAAAATAAAGTATCGTTTTTTTATGATCTTCGCTAGGAAAGTACGAACGCAATCGTGCAACTATACTCTTCGGCGGTGACACATGCTGAGCTTGGCTCTGTAGCCTTCCCTTCATTGCCAAGAAAAGTTGTCCGCGAGTATCGAAGTTAGTGCGATAACGACTAGACTGTATCTACGATAGGGGACCACGAGAATTTTTTAACTTACACAAAAATCATATTTAAACAGCGCCTCGAATTTAGCCACACTCCATCAGAGCTGAGTGCGCTCCCAAGTAATATGAGTGGCGCTCAGTGTATTAATCCTTTCGTTTTCATTAAGATGATTGAGGACGTTTCATCATTTTAATATGCGTAGCATGCGCCAAGCACCGCTATTTTATATACGGAGCACCGTCAGCAAACGTGGCTAGCTAGTGACCTAACGGCAGTATTCTCCTATTGCAGGTACATTGAATTAACAAGACAAATGAGACAGAAAAACGCCAAATGCACGTAACATCAAACAATATAACATTATTTAAAAGAGCTTCTCATGAGATACAAAAGGAAAAGCGTTTATATTAACGATATTCTTTATAACTATCCCATTAAGTTTCTTTGGGCAATATGCGCCTCGAGCATGGTGCCTTCAGAGCCGCTATGCAATCAACCCACTAAGAATTACGCAACAAGGCTGCAAAGGGACAAAAAGACAAGCTGTTGTCCGCTCTTCTGAATGGTAACGCGTGAGAGAATGAACACTACATTTTTCCCCCTACGACAAAGCACGCTCTTCGATCAGTGGGCGCAGTATCCATCCGAACTGCTTCAGCGTCAGCTCACTGCATGCGGGCGTCTGTCGCTTTGTCCTGGTAAGGGGGCGGCGGGAACGGTGGCGGGTACATGCGGCTCACGTCCGCCAGCGTCACTTCCTCCAGCAGGTAGGGCACTGCGTTGCCGCTGATCGTCCGCAGCTGCAGGTGTGGGCACGTCGACACCGGTACGGGCTCGGCGGCGTACGCAACTCGGCGACTCAGTGAGCTGCGGTGGTCGAGCGTCGGTTCCCCGCGGCCTGTTGGTAGCACGCAAAGCGATACAAGCAGCAGTAGCGCGGCGCCCACCATGCACAGGCCCCACCAGTGGAGGCCCGACGCTAGAAGAGCCATGCCTGCGACAAACACCAGAGCTACCACCGAGAAGCAGAGCGCTGCTGAAGCCCTATGAGTCTGTAGCCTCGAAGCTGGGCTCTCCCCCCGTCTGCTGCCTTGGAGTTGGGACAAGTGTTGCTCGTCTCTCGCGGTCGGCTGCTGGGACGTAGTGCCTATCCGCCTCACTTCCACGGGGACCAAAGTGATGCCTGGCACGCCGGGAGAGACCATGGTGTTACAATTGGCTTCTCTCAGCTGCACGGCAGGCGCTACCCCTACTCAGTCTGCCCCGCGTTCTGCCTTGCCATCACTCAGGGACGTAAAAAATGGGCAGCAGCGTCGCGCCAGGAATGTTTGCAGCTCGGGATCTGTTGTTATGCGTCTCCGGAGATGTGCGCTGCGTCAAGCTGACGAGCGAGCCAGAAGTGGGTGAGCGGGTCAGGCCAGGCCTGTGCACATGCAGTCGTCTGCCCGCGACAGATGCGCCGGAGGAGGTGACGAGCGTGTGTTTTCGGAAGGCTGCGAAGCAGCTGCTCGCAAAATGAGGGGAACATAGGAGAGGTGCAGCAGCGGTGCTTCAACTTCCTGCCATATGCCGGGCAGCGAATTAAACAACGAGCACAAAGTTTAAATTCGAGTAAAACTGAACAAACGCAGTCTGAAACCTAAATTCTTATTTGTACCGGCAACTACCAGGTGAATTTCGCATTTTTTAGCAAGAGTTATGCATCCTAAAGATAGACGCCGCTGTAATCATTTTCTGAATCACTGAGAACAGGTGGCCGCTTTGTTATGATTACGGCCCCGTCACTGCTTTTGTAGAGCACGGCCCTTGAGTCGCTCCTCTGACTGTGGGCCTCTCGGAACACCTTCTCCGATGGCGCGGGGTAGGGCGGAATGTCGATGGCCATAAGGGAGTCTGCCGGTGGCTGGGAGGGGTCTTCGACTGAAGTGCTGAGCGATGGACGTCGCGGCATTCCGCCGTAGCAAGCGCGGCCCATCCATGCGATGCCGAAAAGAAGGGCCACCGTAAACGCTGTGCCAATGATGAAAAGGCCGACAGTGATGTCGGCGAAGATGACGCAGAAGATGCCGGCCACGCACAGGGCCACGAGGAAGGCCCCGATCACATAGAGGGCGCTGCGCTTCATGGGTACCGTTGCTGCTGAGCAGCCGCTCTGCCACCGCAGCTGTGGTTCAGCTCCATTTTCGCTTCATACCTGCAGAGAGACAACACGAAAACTTAGAGAGGCATGGCTTTACGAAAGAAAAAAAATGGTGCTCCGTGACACGCTGTTGTTAAACTACTTTGTGACAACGTCGAGAGCCTGCCATGTTTGTGTGAAGTATAGTAAAGGTCTCAGGCGTCAGGTGCATTATCAACGATAGCCGCATTTTATTTTTACCTTGAACTCGTTAACACCGGTATGCTTCTTTCTTTATCAAGCTCAATTAAAAGAAGATGTCGGACGAAAATTTGATGTTTCTCTTAAAACGTTGTATATTAGGGTTTGATTGCAAACTCACCCTTAGCCTTCCATTTCCATTCATTAGAAAATCAAGGCTTTCTGCACGTTTGTGTATGTGAGGTAGCATGCACAAACTTGCATGTACCGTAGAAATCACTGTCAACATTCATAACATGCTCGCCTGTACCGTAGAAATCACTGTCAACATTCATAACATGCTCGCCTGTACCGTAGAAATCACTGTCAACATTCATAATCCAGGCGCCAGGAGAAACGTTCGTGTTTGTGTCCTTCCTCTTTCCATCTTATTCCTCCTCCTCCTCCTCCTTATCCTCCTCCTCCTCCTCCTTGTGTCGTGTCATATTATTTTCTGGGTGATGGAATACGAAGACATAACATATGTTTGGTGTGAAAAAAATTGCTAAGGTGACGAGGACGTGCGTGTTTTAGTTGTGAACAACATACTTCGGTGGGTTGGTGTGCAACTCGGACCTTCCACTGCTAACACGAATTGGAGACAAACATAGTAAACGCGTCACAACACCCGCCTACTAAATTCTATGGACAGACGAATTCTTGAACTTTGGAACGCTTTCTATCTCAGTCTTCTCTAACTGACTGGAGTCAAGTATTGCAGGCGTGGCGGCTGAGCCAGAGAAAGCGTAGAATTAGTTTATAAATGTTTTTCAAGTGACGTATGAGAATTTTCCACGCAAGCTGTAGAAACGAGCTCGAAAGCCCGCAAGCCATAGATCACGGGGAACACTTGAAGAGTATGAAAGAAAAAGAGGTATATATCTTTATGAAAACAACAGCATAAACAAATTTGCAAGCTTTTGAGCTTCAGGAAACAACTCAAAAAACAGCAGTCTTTCCCCCTCCCCAAAGTATACTTAAAAAGGCACAGCGGAAACGATTGAACAATCTCCTGCATGGTGACCACCAAGAACAATCCATTTTATCAATTAATATTAATGGCGATATATTAAAAGGTGCACGCTTGGCTGATTCTTTCAACGATATTCTTGTGTCCAACTACTGCGCATGAAATTGTAACTTCTGTTATGTCCTTAAAAAGCACTGTGTATTGACGTTGATGACTTGCAGATCCAATAAATAAAATATGCAATCGATAATATCGCACCACTTCCATATTACATTGTTAACCTCATGTTTTCTGTTGGTACATTTCCTAAACAACTTCATATGTCAAAGGTAACTGTTATATTCAAAGGTGTAGACATCAATACCTTCTCCAATGGAAGGCCAATTTGAATTATTCTCATGTTTTCAGAATGTGTTGAGAGAGAGAGAGAGAGAAAAGAAATGTAGGAAAGGTAGGGAGGTTAACTAGACTATGCGTCAAGTTTGCTAGCCTACATGAGTGTATTGAAAAATTTGTATATAAATGCAGGTCCAGTTTTTCTGCGTGGTAATAGATAATTTATCATTTACACTCTCGATACAAGTAAATGTATTGGAGCACGTGACAATTCAAACTGCGTAGGAAAAGGCAACGTAGTCGTGAGTAAAATTCACACTGGGAGCATCGCAAACACTTTGAACATAAACACGGCAAAAAGGAAAGCAGTTTTATTTCGGCCTCAGAAAAAAAAAAAACACTGAATATCACCAACAGTCTAAACTTAGGTGCATCAATATATAGAATTTTCACGCGTAGCTAGAAGCCTGGGAGTAATTTTTGAAGAACATGTTACGTGGACAGAACAACAAAATGCCACCTTCAATATAGATTTTAAAAAATGCGACTCTCATCTTCTTAAGAGGGAAACTCGCGTAAATGGGTCGCGGAGTGGGGGGGGGGGGGTATCACGTGAATGTTGCGTAATTATGTATGGTTTGGGGATGCTTAATTGTTATTTCGCCGTTATTATTCTTATTCATTGAGTGAAGGAGAAGCGTTGCCTTCAACGAGTGGCGGGCCGCTGATGTGCGATCCAATGCCTACACATACGGGGTGGCCAGTGAACAGTTGTGTAGCTCGGGCAGTCGGTTTTTACTAGCAGGCGCTGCTTTCGTCGGCCTTGCGAGGCAAGAGATGGTTTGGGAATGCTCAATTATGATTTTGTTTTTATTATTCTTATTTATTAAATGAAGGAAAAGCGTTGCCTTTAAAGAGTGGTGGGACGCTGATGTGCGATCCAGTGCATACACATACGGGGTGGCCAGTTAGGTTCTGCAGCTCGAGCAGTTGTTTTTACTAGCAGACGCTGCCTGCGTCGGCCTTGTGGACGAGAGGAGGGGGGGGGGTAAACAATTGGCACAAGACGCAAGCATGCCGCAGCATACGCGAGGCGCAAGAATGCGCAGTGGAGGTGTGGACATCGCCGCCGACGCACGACTCGTCATATCGTGCGTCTAAAAAATGCTCCGCGTTTAAAACTGAAGGAGTATCATGCGAATTTTGTTACATCCCTACTGAAACGTTCCGTATGCGAGTCCAATAATTCCATATGTTTCCATAAAGAATACATATGTTTCCTATATATTTTTCATATATTTCCGTAAGATTCTTACGGAAACATACGGAATTATTGGACATCGCATACGGAACGTGTGAGTAGAGATCCTGCCAGAAAACATCGAGTTGTTAATTTGCTAGGTACCATTTTCGCTTAACTTATCTTATTTTTATTTAATCTGGGGTACTACAACAAAAACTAGCATTCAGAAATTACACGAAGTCCAAAAGAACGCCATTCAAAACATTGTTAGTGCCGTATACGACGCACACACGAAACCAAGTTTCCAAATTCTATTGCATGAACTCCATCGCACAATCTTACACAAACGCAACGCATTGGCTAAAAAATAACAACAAATTTTTCACAGGTTTATCTAGGCTAAGGCAGGCTGAACATGTGCGCACTTCGAGGGTGCCTGCAGTCTGAAAGGTGAAAAAAAAAACTCGGATATTGATACCAGTTATCATTACTACTTGAAAACTTCGAGCTGCACACATAATTCACACCTACGTGGTGATAAAGGTATATGTGTATTTAATTTTTTTGTTTCCTCCGCCCTTTTTTTATTGCCGTTTACATTTTTGTCAGCTATACCACGGCCTTTTTCTTTACTTTTTTATTGCGTACACGTTTTTTCTTTCATTCACTGCTGTATACAGACATATGTCGTTAGCCCTCTTTTCGCATTCGCTAGCTTATTTTTTATTGAAGAGAACTGCCATGTGCCCATTTCCTCATTTTGCCTATCTGTACATTGTATGAAATGTTTGCCAATCCTGGAGGTACGAACCATGTCAAGCCTGATCTGCGACATTTTTTTTTTTGCTGAAAATAAGTCCCAATACATTGATTGATAGTTTGTGGCCGAAACCAACGTCCCCTGCTGACCACTACTTGCGCATGAATAGTGGTTGGTCACTTTGAAAAGTGCGTCGACTGTCTGTGTGAATGCCTTGTTGCAGACCCAGCCTCATCGCAATATTCATTTATGGTGCGGTAAGGTGTTTCAAGTCGAAAATATCTTCGATGTTTATGCTATAGGTGCCTCCACATAAGAACTGCTGTAATAGTAGGCTGCTTTTCTGCTTGTTCATGCGCGCGCGCTTGTGTGTGTGCGTATTTATGAACATTTCGCAATTACTTCCTGACTCCTAATGCAACAGTCTAGCTACTTGGACTGGTTGGTATTCTGCCTCCTTACATGAAGCGTGCTCTGTCACATCTCAAATTTTCCTGAAACTTTTTGCGCACACACGAAGGTTTTCCTTCAAAAATCACTGCTAGTATTAACATTTCACTGCTCAAGTGCTTCTGTTATGGTTGCCTACAGCATTCTTGCAAGAATCTGGCTGAGCAGAAACCATCACACCATTACATTTCCAGAATAAAAAAAAAAGAACATTGGTATACATTTACGTGAGTTGCCCTAAAAACAATTGTTCGTTCAATACCTTATTTCTGTCTCCACATTCCTGATTTCGCAATACAGGAATAACATTTGTTTTTGTTTTAAATGAACAAGATCCTGAAACCGAAAATGAGCAATATTTGGCGATAACGTGAACCAAATATCGGTTTCTGTCACACTGAAAACACATTTTAAACAAAGTTGGTCCGCTACTTGTTGGAATTTCGACTTAGGATATTAGTTTGGGAGAAATAATAAGTGACATTTTCGACACGTCTGAGTGAAAGTGATCCATAGCCCCTGTCAATTTATGGTCGTGCTACGTTGACGCCCAGTCACCGAAAAAAGCAACATATATAGACTCCTCTAGTATGTTTCATTTTGAGAAGGTATACCTCACACTTATTATTTTGTTTTCTTCAACACGGTGCATTTAAAAAGACGATGTTGGGCGTAAAGACGTTGGGTCCAGTTCCAAGAAGAGGTTATCCACATCACTTAAACCGAAAAAAAGCACATACTACTTCCCAAAATGAGTGAGCGAAGAAATAAGGCCTATAACGCGCTCTGGCCAATGAAAACATCAATAGAGCACCATTGGCAGAACGGAGCACCTCCGAAAGCGTAATGTCTTTAATTTATATGTTTTATGAAATGAGCCCTTGCAATTTACAGTCATTTATACAAAATCCTGCAAAGCGCAGCGCTGAGGAAATAACATATTTTTGTGGTTAACTTGGTTGATAAATATAGCGAAATTGTTCATGTGCTGTAATTTAGCGGTTTTCTGCAGCATTGTCAGCACCAAATTTCCAATGTGATACCGTCAAGTATTATTGTTACATAAGTGCTAAATA